TTTTTTTTTTTGCAGAGACGTTCGCTGGTCCTTGCACAGTCGGGTCGCCCGGGAAAACAAAGTGACCCGGGCGGCCCGGCTGGTAGCCTAGGTCAATACTTTTTTTTTTTTTTTTTTTTGGCAGGTTGGAGATCGTCTAGGGCGTGCCTCGTGCATATATTTAATAATTTTAATTGCATCGTAGATTTGTGTTGAGGCAAATCATTGTTATTCAATTGCACGTCAGTGATAAAAATCTGGTTCTTTTTCTATTGTGAATCTTTTTTTGCAGGGTGTGACAGTGGAGGATATTTCTCTGCAACCGGTTGAGGCCGGAGAGTTGGACATCACTTTTCAGCATCGTGTCAGCTTAGCCGATCTGTCAATTTTCCTGTGTCACCATTCCCAGTGCTCGATAGTTTTGTCTTATCACTTGCAAGCAAACACAGTCTGCCAAACAAAAAATGGGAGGCATGAATCATTTTCAATTGCACTTTGCTTTTTGAAATCTGTTATTTTTTAGTTTTCCGTATTTGAGGACTGAAACACAATTATTCTTTTGTTTTACGTTTTTCTGTGGACAAAAGCAGGGGAACTCCCTCCCTCTGCTCGGGCCCAGGCTGTCGAGCAAAGCCAGCAGCATATCCGTGACCTCTACTAATTGCAAGGCTGCCGGCTCGGATTGCCGGGCGAGCCTAACTGTTTGTCAGCTTTCCCGGTCCTTGCCGGTTGCTCGGTCTTGTTTCCCCCACCGCAGCACTAGTCCTGATCGACGGTCCGCTGCCAGCTCAAAACATAAAACGCGGAGCATCACTTCTGCGTCCTCTCTGCTGGAAACAATCGGAAGCAGAGGTGGCAGCGGTGGTCGCTTCTGCACTTTACTCCGTTGTCCTGAAGCCGGCGGCCGAATGAACTGCTGCGCGTTGGCTTCTCTTCGCAATAGCCGTTGTTGGGGGGAGGGAAGAAGACAAAGGGAGGGACCGCCGGCTCCCTTTGGATCCATAGCTGCGCATGAGCTCGCCTGCTCTTTCGTTTTTAAGTCGAGCGTCACTTGGACCTCGAAGAAGAAGCATAGGGGGTCCGCCTCCAGCTCCACCATCCCCCTGCCCTTCGTCGGCAATCTCACCAGCGGGGTCTGCCTCTCCTCCTTCCCCTCCTCCACGTCCATCGGCTTTGCTCTTGGAATAAGCGAGAATAAGCTTAGTAGGCGGGCTAACCGAGGCAAGAGTAGTAGTAGTGGGATAGGGAGGGGCGACGACTCCAACAGCAGGATTCTGGCGAAGGCGATGGCGGGCGCAGATGCTGTCGCTTCTGCTGCTGGCACGGCTGAGACAAAGGCCATCTCACCGAAAGGACGGGCGGCACGTGTGATGCTGGTGTCCGATCTTGACCACACAATGGTTGATCACTCGGACAAATCCGAGATCGCTCTTCTTCGGTTCAACGCGTTGTGGGCGGCCGAGTACTCACAAGACAGCGTGCTGGTTTACTCTACAGGCAGGTCCAAGAAGAAGTACGAAGAGCTGAGAGCCGAGACCCCGCTGATGACCCCTGACATAACCATTCTGTCGGTTGGGACCATCATCAGTTATGGCGAGTCGATGGTACACGACACTGACTGGGAGAGAGTGTTAGATCAGGGGTGGAACCGGGACATCGTTGTGGAAGAGGCAAAGCAGTTTCCAGATCTGCGGCCGCAGGAGGGGTCTGAACAAGGACGGCACAAGATAAGTTTCCACGTCGACAAACACGTGGCACAAAAAGTGATCGAGAAGTTATCCAGACGGTTAGAAGCACGCCAAGTCCGGGCCAAGCTCGTGTACAGCGGGGGTATAGATCTTGATGTGCTGTCTGTTCATGCTGGGAAGGGGGAAGCCTTGGCTTATGTGCTCGAGAAGATGAGGGCGAGAGGATGCCCGCCCGGCAAAACCCTCGTGTGCGGAGATTCAGGGAATGATGCCGAGTTGTTTGAGGTGAAGGGCGTGAAGGGGGTTGTGGTAGGGAATGCCAAGGAGGAGTTGGTGGAGTGGTATAATAGCCATGCGTCACCAGATGTGTTCAAAGCGACGAAGAACTGTGCGGCGGGAATTATTGAGGCAATGCAGCACTTCGGATTCAAACCCGCGACCTCTCCTCGCGACGTTGGCAGTCTGCCTGCGACTGCGGACGGTGTCGATCTGGAGTTATCCGAGTCAGCATCACCATTGTCGTCGTCCGGAATGCGGGCGATAGTGGACGTGAATCTATTTTTAGAAAGGTGGTGGAGGGGAGAAGTGCCGCGTGAAGCAGATTTGCTCGAACGCTGTTTCACGGGTAAGCTGTCGCCCGATGCACACATCGTCCTTCCTGATGGAAAGGAGATGGGAGCTGAGAAGGTTCGCGAGCATTATTTGTCCACGTACGGCAAGTTTAAGGGGGCGGATTACAGAAGGTGGTTTGATCGAGCCAGCGAAGTGGAGGTCGCTCCAGGTGTGTGGATTATCAAGCTTATCCAGTGGGATGCTCCGGATCACAAATGGCGAGGAGTGAGAATGACAGTCGGATTGCGAGAGAAAGAGGGGCAAGGGAATGGGATGGAAATGCTATTTTTGCATTCTACAGCTTTGTAAACTACAAGGTACACCAACAACAGACCTAACTCAGTTGGTACACCCAATGAACTGTTGAAATACAGATTTAAGTTTGAAACCAGATGCAGTTAAAATTAGCACAATAACATACTTGTGAAGTTGTGAATTACCTAGGGCCGGTCGGTTCAATGACGATAGTGATAGCCGTTGCCCTTTGTTTTTGTTTTTTTCTTAAAAAAGATGTTAGTAGGCGTGCTCGAGTCTTCTTCCACATCCCGCATGAGCGAGCTAGCGATCGAGCAAGCACATTGCTGACAAAGGCTTGCTGATGACAGATGTACCAGAAAAATGATTCGGGGGTTTAAAATTGGGTTCCAGATCGGGACATGAGAAGTGCATCCATATAGGAAGGGGGCCGAGGGGAGGGAGAGGGCAGAGAGACAGTTTGATTAACTCTTCCGTTATCAGGTCCTCGGTGGCATTGTACATTTCTATTGTTGTCGGAATTTAAAATCCGATCGGTTGGACATAAGGTTGTTGACAGTAGACTAGTGCTCTCGGTAGTCGGGCGAACTATTCATGCATGCATGCATAGTATTCGTGTGTGTGTGCATTTGCTAAGATCGCGATCAGGACATGGAAACGCCAATCACTTGTGTACCATACCCCTAACCCCCGGCGCCCTTCCTTGTCGTATCTCTCTCTGCTTGATCGCGTTGTTCTTGGAGGATGTACACGTGACGGGCTTTTCGGTGATGGAAAGCACGTGGTGGTTGTTGGCGTATGAACTTGTGAATCACTGTATGCAGAGATATTGTAAGGAGAGAGAATGTATTATCGATAGGTAGGTAGATAGGCAAGACAGATGCTAGGATAGGTAAAGCAGGTCTTACACGGTATGTCGACAAATATACATATTGACATGCATGCATGTATTGTCGCAAAGAGCCGTCCATGAACCCGGTGGCTGGTAGGAGAGGACACGGAACGGAAGGTTGTGGCAGGCTAGAGAGCTGCGTGTGTGCCACTCTGTGTGTGTGTGTGTGTGTGTGTGTGTGTGTGTGTGTGTGTGTGTGTGTGTGCAAAAGAGAGAGAGAGAGAGAGAGAGAGAGAGAGAGAGAGAGAGAGAGAGAGAGAGAGAGATCAAAATTGAAAAAAGTGGGAACGATGTGGCACCCTCATTTTGGATGAACGGGACCGAAAAGATAGCTTGTACACATTCATTATCAGCGTGCGTTATGCTTGGGGAAAGAAGTGCGCATGCTCTCTCTCTCTCTCTCTCACCCACACACTCAAGTGCGCATGCTCTCTCTCTCTCTCTCTCTCTCTCTCTCTCTCTCTCTCTCTCTCTCTCTCTCTCTCTCTCTCTCTCTCTCTCTCTCTCTCTCTC